ATTGGCTTGTTGAGGAGTTAAGTCCATTGTACCAAATAGTGAATAGTCCAAAGCTACATTTACAGTATTACAATTGTTACTGTTTCTTTCAAAAATAGTTCCTAGAATGCTTCATTAACAAACACCGACCAAAATAGTTGATTCCTTTACCCAGCTGCCACTACTATAGAAGAGAAAAAAGAGAAGAAGCAGAAGAAGAGAAGAGAAATTTACCTGCTTCAGGGCAAAAAGTGTAGACCCCTCGCCTTGCCTTGCTTTTGCGCTTTAAGCGAGAAGCGCTCGCTTTTAATAACACTGCTTTAAATATGAGACTCTTAGGAGCTTTCAGGATTAATATAGCATTCAAGCAGCATAAATGTTTAAACCAACTACTCTACATACTACTACCACACAAGAAACTAAGAAATGGCATCGAACGCTACCACTTTACACATAACTAACGCATAGGAAGCTAAAAACAGTATCGACGAGAAACTGACCAATTTGCGAAGCTCCGAATTTATAAGAAAACCATAAATCCAACTATCGATAAACGAACAGAGCTTGGGCAGCAGTAAATAAGCCAAATAAACTTCAGAATACTCGTATCGAGTGAAATAAAAGAAACCAAACTTTGCCGTGGCTTACAGCTAGAAAAGCAGTAGCTGAAAAGCAGTTAGAACGTTACACACACATCTACACAAAAATATTTTTTATAAGTACGAATATGCACAATATTAGAATGTGTAAACAATTAAACTATATCCCTTTCTCAATTTACTTACACCAAACTGGCATAGATATTTCGAGATGAAAGCATACTAAGTTTTAGCAGATTCTTTTTTTAAAATCAAAAGTATACCAAGTTTGTAACACATTTTTACACACACTTGCTTGATTATGGATCAATTTTGAACAGCCCTAGTCATACTAATGAATGTATTTTAGATCATTAATACTATATCTTATCGTCAATGTTCTATTAATTGCAGAGAAGCCCCTAGATTCTTGGTAACCTGTCTTGCAGGTAGTCCAGCATGTTCCTCATGTCTATGATCCAGAAATAAGCATAAGAAAGGTTGAAAGTTTTCTGGGGCAAAATTGAAAAACTCTAAAGTATACTCCACGAGCCATTGCATCGATAGGATTTGTCGACAAAATTTACTCCATCCATTCCCACATATAATACAGAATAACCATTTCAAGAATAACGAACAAGAGAGCGAACATCGAACATCGATAGCAAACATCAAATCTCATAGTTTCTAACACAAAATCAAAACCTAACAAATAAATCCTTCAATTTCGCAAACTAAAAATCACAAAATACATCGCACAATACAAACAAAACAGAAGAAAAAAAATGGGTTTATCAGAAATATTATCAAAGAAAGAAAATAGAAGGAGTAATGAAATAATTTTTCAGACTAGGGAAGAAGAAAGCGAAAATCGAACAGTAATAGCAAACATCGAACAGGGTAAAAAACCAAAAGCCTACCTAGGAGATTGTGGTATGTTAGCCGATAATGGTCGTCCTTCACCGGAAATTATCATCTTTCACCGGAGCTTGTCGACAGAGTTCGTCGATGTGTTCTAGGTTGATGAACAGAGAGAGAGGTGTTTGAGATTTTGGGAGAGTCGCTATCTGATTGAAGTCGATGTGTTCTAGGTTAGTTTTATATTTTAGAGTTATTAAAATATTAGTGGGGTCTACTATTTTTGTCTTTTAATAAATACCTAGGAGGGAAAGTAAGGTGGAAAAATTAAATCGTCCTGATAGCTTTTTATTTCACAAAACCGTTACCACAAATAACCCTATTGTATCGCATATCAAAACCGTCTCCATATCTTTAGTTATGGTGGCAGTTACTACACTATTGGAACGATTATTGTTTAGAAGTGTGCCAGAAGCCTTTTGACTCTATTGGGACGGTTAAAACCGTTCTAAAATATGTTCTACTGTATAAGTTATAGAACCGTTGCCCAAAAACCATTCCAATAAATTCGTTTTACTAGTAGTGTGCTTCCCTGCTTTTGTTCCCAACTTGTCCGCCACTTTATCTGCCTCTTTGAATGTGTGGTTTACTGGTGGATGGCCCAGCACTGTTAGGATAGGCCTGAGTTGCGTATAATTAAGTTTTTTTTTCCATCCGCGCACAACCAAGTAAAATCATTTAAAAGTTGAATCAATTTGGCATACCTAGGTAGCTTCAATTGATTAAAAGGAAAACTTTGTCAAAAAATGAAAAAGAATTCGATGATTTTAGTTTGATTTGCTAATTAAACAAAAAAAAAGGGTTAAAATAGCACGGTCTAGCCAGTTTTCGGACTGGTCATTCAAAAATAGCCAGCGTTTACCAAGTCAATGAAAAATAGCCACTATTTTGCTGCAACAGAGACCGGTCCAGCATAATACACTGGAGTTCGGTGCACCTGTGTATGAACTTCCAGCATATTATGCTGGAACTCCAAGACACGGAAAGTTCCATCATAATATACTAGAGATTCGAGCACTTGTGTATGAACTTCCAGCATATTATACTGGACCGGTATACTTTGCTGGAACACCAGTATATTATGCTGGAGTTCTAGTGTACTTATGCTGGAACTCCATCATATTATGCTGGAGTTCCAGCATACTTATCCTGGAACTCCAGTATAATATGCTGGAGTTCAAGTATACTTATGCTGGAACTCCAGCATAATATACTGGCGTATTTTCCGGGTTTTGAACAGTGTTTTCGCTTAGATTATCTTTAACATCAAAAGTGGCTAAATTTCGATTACTTTTGAAACTGGGCTATTTTTGAACGACCACTTGTAAATCTGGCTATTTTTTGAACTTCTCCCCCCCCCCCCCCCCCCCCCCCCCCCCCCCCTTTTTCCTACCCCCCCCCCCCCCCCCAAAAAAAAGAGCAAATGAAAAAATAGTTTTTAAGTTCATCATGTTGAGTTACTATTAATTTTTAGCCTAAGCTAACTCAACTCGTTTTGACTTAGGCAACCTTTAGTCGAATTAAATCATGAATCATTATTTACTCACTCAGATTTAACCCATCTAAACATTATTCAACCTTCCACTTGGTACCCGTGTTAATGTACATATCCTCACCTTAACATGGAATATAAAAGGCCAATAGCATAGTAGTCACATAACACTACTAAATCGAATCTGTATGGATGGATTTTGGTGAGCTGCGCATAGCCTTTCACGGGTAAAGGAAGAAAGGAACTGCTATTGCCAGGGATAAGTAACTGGAGGCCCCCCTTAAGGTTGGTGAAGGATTTAAAAAAGTCTAAAGGGCTTAAGTTCGATGTCGTATTAGTGAGGTTGGTGACTGATACCTCAAGGAGTAGCAGCAATTTGGGGTTTGGGCAATTGGCGCTTTTGCGTCACTCCAGTGTTTGATTGGCGATTGGTCTCCTTTTATTTTTATCTTTTAGCCAAAATATTTTACGGTTGGATATATGCGTGCTGAAGCACTCCTTGACTTTTGCCAAACAATTTTATCTATGCTTATATAAATACTTAAAGAACTCTATAAAGTGGTCACGAACATCCATTATAACGAACTTTGAATGGGAAATTTATACTAAAGTTAAATAAGCACCTACGATCTGTAAATTTTGGATCCCCCGTTGACCCAAGGACTTATTTTCTCATTTGACAAGCAAAATCCATTGTGCCACTTCTTTTTTGTGGAAGGGGAAAAAAAGGAAATGGTCTATTACGATGACAACCTTGTACTAAAATTAGGTTCCATCTCATAATTGTATGGGCCAAAAGCCGACCGAGGAAATTCAACACAAAGAGGTGATTATCGTGAGATTTGTAACTTACTATGGGCAGTTTGGCCGAGGTCGACCAGTGGTCAATAGAACAAGCCGTTGAGTGGCTCATCAGGGCCGGGGTCGAGCAGCATGGACAGAAGTAAGGACTAGTATAGCTTTGGAACTTTCAAAGGGAATATTCTATTGAATATTCCTTCTGTTGTACCTTTTAGAGTTCTTTGGGAATATCCCATATAAATAGTATGAGAGATAAGACAAAAGGGTTGTAATATTCCATATGGTAAGAACACTTTTGAAAAGTGAGCTCTCTAGATAAATACAAAGAACACCTTTCTAAGGAGATTGGTCCTTCTGGATTATTCCTTGTCATTTCCACCAGATCCGAGAAAGTCTTCAATATTCTTATAAGTTTCTTGTCACTCATCATTGTCAAAGGGAGGAATTATCTACCTCATTCAATATTGGGTGAATCTTCTCCCTTATTTACATTTATTGCCATTCATTGTATTTATCGTTTATCATTATCTTCTTTCTTTTAGCAACCATAACATTTAATGTGTGTTGCATTAAATCCATTTTCGCACGCCCTAACATTATTCTCATAGACTTGTTTTAGATCTAAGGTTATTATCTTTAACTAGGATTAGCGCCTTATCTTTTTTACTTAATTAGTTTAACAAAAAGTATTATATTTTTTGGTCAAACAATTTGGCGCCGTCTGTGGGGATCTTCTAGTTAAAGTTTTAGTTTCCTCTAGATCTATAACAAAAAAAAAATGCAAAAATACAACACTTCCTTGTGCACACAAATCTAACATGACAAGTAATGGAGAGGAAAAGCGGAAGGTGATAGCCGACCTCACCGCTAATCTCCTTAACACCATCAATGAAGTCGATGAAACATGGGGTGAGAACGTAACACCAAATACATCTCCCCGGCGGAACAACTTGTTCCCTCCTCATGGCAGCATCATAACCTCACACGGTAAAGGGGCCTCTACATCCACAATGGAAGAGACACCACCAGCAGTGAAAAAGCTGCTCTAGGCGTGGTTGACAAACACGCTGACCAGCATTCTCGACAAGCCCGCCCAAAGGACGAACAGAGAAACTGTGAGAGTCTGAGTCACACCAGTGACAGACGAGCAGCACGACCCTACTCTTGTGATAGGTATTAATCACAATGTTAGTAATGCATGTAACGAAACCCTCACAACCATTTTGAGAAAGATGGAGGAGATTGAGAACGAGAACAAAATGCTTCGTGACCAAATGAAAGAGCATCAGGAAAGGGTAGACAAAATACCAGGCGCCCCACAACTTTTACCAAAAAGGGACGCCGGCCGGTTCGTTGAGCAATCGTACAGTGAAGAAGCTGCACCACACGCCATACCTAAGACCTTCAAAATGCCGCCGTACTTGAAAATATACGATGGCACGATGGACCCTGAGGATCATGTGACCCACTATGTCACCGCAGTAAAAGGCAACGACCTCGCCAAAGAACAAGTGTCTTCCATATTACTGAAGAAGTTTGGCGAAACCCTCACCGGGGGAGCGCTAACTTGGTATTCACAGCCGCCTGCACACTCAATTGAAACATTAGAAGAAATGTCCGACAAGTTTGTGACTGCCCATGCCGGGGCTAAGAAAGCGGAGGCGAGGGTGAATGATATATTTTCCATTAAACAATCACCCGGTGAAGGACTAAGATATTTCCTCACTCGATTCAACCGTGTGAGGATGACCTTACCAAATGTATCAGAGGCAATGACAGTAGCAGCGTTCCAAAACGGGTTAAACAGAAACGGTTCGAGGGCTACCGGAAAATTGTTAAGCCGACTCATGAAATATCCTCCAACCACTTGGGAAGAGATACACAATGCTTGTTGTGCCGAAGTACGAGCTGACGAGGACGACCTCAACGGGCCAACTCAACGGCTAACCTCAGTCCAAATGGAGCCCAGGAAAGACCGAAGAAATGACAACAGAAAGGACCGTGCGAGGCCCGTGACTCAACCGTGAAAGACATCAACCGTATGACATAGCCGCCATCAGAACACCTCCCCGTCATGGCAACGGACCATCTAGGCCGCCAACAGGGACTCACCGAAGCAAAAGAGGTATGCCTCCACTCCTATCTCCTCACAATTTCTATGTTTCTCCCTCAGAAATAGTCTACGCCCTGGAGAAGCTCGGTCCAAAAGTGAAATGGCCACAGAAGATGAAGTCCGACCCAAACACCAGAAGTCAAACACCCTCTACGAGTTCCATCAGAAACAGGGCCAAAAAACTGAGGACTGCATCGCCCTCAGGCAAGAGGTCGTGAACGTGCTTTACCAAGGACATCTGAAGGAACTTTTGAGCGATCGAGGAAGGACAAACTTCGCTCGAGGACGCGAACAACATCAGGGTCTACCTAAACCACCCTCCCCAACTCAAACCATCCAAATGATCATCGGAGGAGGCGACGATGCATCAATCAACAACGTAAAATTCATCACCCACAAGCTGAAACGGTCAATTACTCCTGAACAGTACGAAACTCGAAGAGAGTATCATCTTTGATAAGTCGGATACCCACGGTTTGGTCTTTCCTCATTATGACGCCCATGTTATTACTTTACGCATCTTAGATACTAACGTAAAACGTATTATGGTTGATGATGGGAGTGGTGCGTGCATTGTCCACCCTCGAGTTCTCGCACAAATGAAGCTCAAGGATAGGATAATGCCACACTACATCACACTAACAGGTTCTAACAATGCAGTTGAGCGGACATCTGGAGAAATCACGCTACCCATCCTGGCCAGTAGCGTCACCTTGGAGACTACGTTCCACATCATAGAATAGGATACAGCGTACAACGCCATCATAGGTCGCCCCTGGATACATGCCGTGAAAGCCGTCCCCTCCATCTTATATCAAGTCACTAAATTTTGGGGTATTCAGCATCCGAGGAGAGCAACGCACTGCACGAGAATGCTACCACATCGCCCGAGACTGAACATACACCCAACAATTATAAGGAAAAGTAGAGGCCGCATAGAAATTAACAGGGTCGGGGTCAGGTGACGATGAAGGAAAAGATGTCATCAGGGACCCAAAAATAGTAGAAGCCACAGGGTCAACAATAGTGGATCTTGACCCGTACAACTCGACAAAGACGACCACATCAAAAAAGCCTACATCGGCCATAAACTTCAGGAACCAAGTAAATTCCATCAATTTTTAGCTAACAACGCAGACTTGTTTGCCCTTTCCTGCAGATATGTCGGGCATCCCGAAAGAGATAGCAACATACAGGTTGAACGTCGACCCATTTTACCCCCCCAGTGAGGCAAGTTAGGCGGAAATTCAACTCCGCAATAAATGACATGGTCCGCGAGGAGGTTGAAAAACTGCTGGAAAATGGCTCTATCACAGAATCGAAGTATCCTTAATGGGTCGCCAACGTGGTCATGGTGAAAAAGAAGAACGGGAAGTGGCGGATGTGCGTATACTTCATAGATCTGAACAAGGACTGCCCAAAAGACTCATTCCCATTACCCCATATTGAACAACTCATTGATGCAACAGCCGGGCACGAGCTATTAAGCTTCTTGGACGCTTACTCGGGCTACAACCAGATCCTCATGGAGGAGGAGGACCAAGAGAAGACCACTTTCATCACTCACCAGGGGACGCATTGCTATATAGTGATGCCTTTCGGACTGAAAAATGCGGGGGCGACGTATCAGAGGTTAGTGACAAAAATGTTCAAAGACCAGCTCGGCAAAACCATAGAAGTCTACATCGATGACATGTTGATGTTGGTCAAGTCAAAAAGGAAAGAGGACCACATCGACCACTTGAAAGAGGCCTTCGACATACTCAGATGATACAGTATGAAATTGAACCCCAAAAATGCGCCTTAGGAGTAACCTCGGGAATGTTCCTTGGTTTCTTGGTATCACAACGGGTCATCGAAGTCAACCCCGACCAAATCAAAGCTATAGAAGGAATACCGGAGAACCTAACCAGTAAGAAACAAGTACAGAAGCTGACCGGCTACATAACCGCCCTGCCGAGATCAATCTTATGGTCCTCCGACATATGCCATAAATTTTTCGGCGTACTCAAGAAAGACAATGGACTCCTATGGAACTCTGAGTGCGTCGAAGCCTTGAAAGAGTTAAAGGCGTACCTATCTTTACCCCTACTGCTCGCTAGAACCTGGGGAACATCTACTCATCTACCTGGTCGTGTCCGACGTGGTCGTGAGTGCGGTCCTTTCCGAGAAAACAAAGGTACGCAATCTCCCATTTACTATATTAGCAAAACTCTGGTTGACACCGAGATGAGGTATCCACACCTCGAGAAGCTGGCCCTGGCCTTGGTCGTCGCTTCGCGAAAGCTTAGACCCTATTTCCAGTGCCACGCCATCTCGGTAGTCACAACCTTTCCCCTGAAGAGTATTCTGCATAAACCCGAGCTGTAGGGCAGATTGGCCAAATGGGCCATAGAATTGAGCGAGCATGATATAACCTATCAGCCACGAACGACGATAAAGTCGCAAGTGCTCTTCGACTTCAGCACAAAAATAATACCCGAAGTTGAAAAGGAAGCCGCCCGTACTTCCCCCAAAATGCATGATTTGTATACCGATGACACCTCTAATGCGTCGGGATCAGGACTGGGACTCGTGCTCGAGGTCCCAACAAGCGAAGTAATTTGACAGTCCATAAGATGCCCAGATATGACTAACAACGAAGACGGGTACAAGGCTGTGATTGCAAGGCTAAAGTTAGCACTCAAGTACGGAGTGAAGCGAGTTGTCCTACGGTGCAACTCTCAGCTCTTCATCAATCAAGTCACAGGGACTTTCCAAATCAAGGAACAAAGAATGCAAAAATACCAGGCCGAGATCTGCAAGTTGTTACCCGAATTCGATGAATGCCATCTCGACCACATCCCTTGAGCACAGAATATCGAAGCAGACGGCCTTGCCAAACTGGCAGTGGCCACTAAAAGCATATCGGAGAAAGGAACGTGGCCACTCTCCTCCGCTCGTCGATCGATCAAATAGAGGTACGAACTATAAAACTAACTTGGGACTGGCGCAATCGTATTGTCACATATTTGCAGGACAGAGTGCTTCCAGACGATAAAAAGGAAGCCAACAAGCTCCGAATGCAGGCGTCCAGGTACAGTGCCATTAACAACGACTTTTACAAAAGAACGTATGGCGGCCCCCTAGCAAAATTCTTAGGCCCAAACCAGACGTGGCGCGTTCTAGAGGAAGTCCACGAAGGTCACTGTGGAGCTCATACCGGCAATCGAGCCCTAGTCAGATGCCACATACGAGTAGGCTACTACTGGCCCACAATGAAAAAAGAGGCCGTAAACTTCGTAAAAAAATGCAAACAATGCCAAAGATATGCCCCCATGATCCACCAAGCGGGCACGCACCTCCACTCTGTCACCTCGCCTTGGCCCTTCATCAAATGGGGGATGGACATCGTCGGACCCCTCCCAGCAGGATGAGGTAATGTACGATTTCTTCTGGTTTTAACTGACTATTTTTCCAAGTGGGTGGAAGCAGGTTCATTCGCCCAAATACGCGAGCAAGAAATGATCACCTTCATATGGAGGAACATCGTGTGCCGTTTCGTCCTCCCCAAAGAAATCAGTTGTTGTCACACCTCCTTTTTTTACACACCTACCCCGAAGTATATTGTATAAGGGAGTTTTTCCAATTAAAGTGACATTATTCGAAATGGGATTATTTATTTAATCAGAGTCGCCACTTGGGATAGGTTTGGCTTTTGGTGTTCCAAGTCACCGGTTTATCTTGAATCCCAAATCGAGGAAATTTTCGACTTTCCAAATGAAGTCTGCGAACCAGAAATTCTGACTAAGAAATTCTGTTGACCCGAGGGAAGGTGTTAGGCACCCCCGGATCCTGTGGTTCTAGCACGGTCGCTTAAACTATCATCGTTGGCCTAATATCTGATTTTAATACATGTTTATCCTATGATGCAATTTTAAAAATTATTTACCGCTTTTAATTAAATTTTTTTATGGAATGTTGAACGTCGTTTAAAACGTGTTTTTGGATCACGTCACATGAAATGCACCCGGATCCGAAACACATTATATTCAACGTTTTGGGATTTGGATTTGGGTTACATGAAATGCACACCCAAATTTAGGAAGATAAAATTATTAAAGAACGCGCCTAAAGTGACTAACGCGTTATTAACTTTGCGGGAGGCCATGAAAATTCGCTAAATGGCACGTCCCGATTTCTAAGTATTTTAATGTAAGTCTTTAAAGAGGGCCACGCAATTTATGAATTTTGTTTGGCGCGGCGCACCTCGATTTATTTTAAAGGTCATCCTAAAAGGAACTATTATTCTCTATTAAGGATTGTCTCTAAAAGGCCTAATTAATTAATATTGTTAATGAGCTATTATTAAAAGCATTCAAACAAATTCGGGCTTCAAGATCAAGTCCAAACTCAAACAAAAGGATCTCCATCATTGAAAACCCCCTTAATTTGAGCTTGCTACTTAACTTGAAAGGCCCAAACTTGCATTACAAAATTAAATTGCAGCATTAAAATGAATTCAGGCCTTCAGCATATAGGGCTTTGAGACTAGCCCCAAAAGGAGGAAATTGCAGTCAACTTCTATGAGAAGCTATCTCAAATGGGCTTCCGAATAGGCCCAACGCGAAGGCAACAAAACTGGGACTTAGGCCCAAATTTGCACAGGCGCATGACTTAAAGAAATTAACTGTGTGCAAAGCCTCAGCTGGAAAAGCTGATTACTATACTTGGGCCTCTAACATGCCCAACTCACTCATCTGGACAGTTCATTGTTGGCCCAAGTGTAGTGGCTGGACTTTGAATATTTGGTATCCCTTTTTTGAGTTCCAAATTATTGCAGTAAACAACTATTTTTAGGAGCTGAAATAGTTTAATCTAACCGCACAATTCAACAAATACAGTGGCTAAACGATTTAAAATCACTGAAACATG